ATACATGATAATTCAAGACTGTAAAAGTAACTACAGGTATAAAGTTTCAGAAGGTGTGAGCAAGTCATGAAAAGTTGCAAAAAGTTTATGATTTTAAAACATTGTTTACAGAGTTTTCTATAAGTTAAATGTTAATGCCAAAATTACACTAACCTAAAGTTGAAGTCTGATCTTCTGTTATAACAATGGAATTTTTTAAAATGTGTACTAATGTTAGTAATTATCTGGAAATGGTCTCAATTGTAAATCTTAAAATCTGTTGTTGCAAAAACTGTAATGTCTCAGCCAGCGCCGTGGCTCAATAGGCTAATCCTCCACCTTGCGGCGCCGGCACACCGGGTTCTAGTCCCGGTTGGGGCGCCGGATTCTGTCCCGGTTGCCCCTCTTCCAGGCCAGCTCTCTGCTATGGCCAGGGAGTGCAGTGGAGGATGGCCCAGGTGCTTGGGCCCTGCACCCCATGGGAGACCAGGAAAAGCACCTGGATCCTGGCTCCTGCCAGGATCAGCGCGGTGCGCCGGCTGCAGCGGCGGCCATTGGAGGGTGAACCAACGGCAAAGGAAGACCTTTCTCTCTCTGTCTCTCTCTCTCACTGTCCACTCTGCCTGTCAAAAAAAAAAAAAAAAACTGTAATGTCTCTTTTTAACACTACTGTCTGTTAAGTTATGATTGATAAAAAGTATTAAGTCTTAAAAAGTTATGTTAAATATTATGATCAGATCTGGTCTAAAAGTGTTAAAATCGCCCTGACTAAATGTTAAGGAATTCTATTTTGACCAGATACTCTAAGTTCTCTTGGCACCTTTAACAGACTTTCTGAAAATCAAAGTTCTAAATTCTCTGGACTTTTGGTATCTCCAGAGGGCCCCTGGAGATGTCAAAAGATAGATCTCTCATCTTGCAGAGATAATAACCAATCGGGCTCTTTAGATTAAAAGTGGTGCCAAGATGTGAAATGATGCTAAACTTCAGTTATAAACGTGTTTCTTTCTAGCTGCTCCAGTCTCTGGCTCAGAAGCCAGATCCTTTAAAGAAAGACTGACAAAGTCTAAGAAGCATCCCATGGTCATGATTTGCATCACCTCAATGTCCAAACCTTAAGCTTTGGCAGATGGATGTTACCCATTTTTCTGAATTTGGTAAACTAAAATACATGCATGTCTCTTTAGATACATGTTCAGGTTTTGTTTTTGCCACCCCGCGATGCGGCGAGGCTGCCAAACATCTCTCATTGCCTTCAGGCCTTTGCTGTTCTAGGAACCCCTATACAGATAAAAACTAATAATGGCCCAGCATATACTTCCAACTCTTTTAAGCACTTCTGTACTAACTTCCACATCTCATCACTGGGATTCCTTATAATCCCCAGGGACAAGGTATTGTGGAACGAGCACATGCCACATTAAAAAATTATTTACAAAAAAAAAAGGGGGAATACGGGACCATGGCATATTCCCCACAAAAATGGTTATCACATGCTCTTTTCATTTTAAATTTCCTAATACTGGATAATCAAGGGAAAACTGCAGCTGATCGTCACTGGCATCCTGAAACCAAAAGACAACAAGTCTATGTGAAGTAGAAAGACCCTCTAACTGCTCAATGGTATGGACCTGACCCTGTTTTAATATGGGGACGTGGACATGTTTCTATATTCTCGATGGTTACCTGAGCGACTGATGCGGCAAACAGACAATGTCACAAAGCAGCCCCTCGATCTTCATTATAACATTGCTGATTGGGATCGTTACTGCAGCCGTTATAACCGCCATTTCCATTGCAGCTGTGGGCACTACAACAGCTGCTATAGCGCTCACAGGGACAGTTCAAACTGCTAATACCCTGAATAATCTGACGGCCTCCGTGGCTGCTGCTTTGGATACTCAGACATCCTTAAATGCACAAATAAAGGGAGGCTTGATGATTGTTAATCAGCGTGTGGATTTGGTACAGGAGCAGGTGGATACTCTCTGGCAGCTTGCTCAGCTAGGATGTGAGTGGAAATTTTCAGGGTTGTGTGTGACCTCTGTTCAGTACGATAACATGACTCAGGCAGCAAATTACTCTAAACAGTTGTCTCAGATGCTCTTGCAGAATTGGTCCGCAGAATTTGACTACACCTTGAAGCAACTGTGCCTTGCCATGGTCACCATCAACTCCACATGTGTGGATGTCTCCTTCGCATCTGGATTGTCATCCTGGATCTGCACAGCTGTCTCCAACCTGAAGGAGTGGGCGGGACTTGGAGCTTTGACGGGGTTGCTGTTACTTGTTGTGTTATTTTGCCTGTGGTGTTTGTGCAGGATGAGGACAGCTCATCGGTGGGAATTGGCCATGATAGCTCAAGCCTTTTATGTCCTTGAGGCTAGACAATCGCCGCAAGCATGGCTGGCCTTCCTTGAATGCTAGGCATGGGTGCAGGGTGCGAGGCAAAGCACTGCAGAGGGAACGAGCCATTACGTTCTCTGGAAGGCAAGTCTGTCTGCATGTGGGTTGGCATCCCAGATCCCACCCCCGCGAAAAGGATGCTGTTCCAGGTGGATGCCTGGCAGTGGGGGACAGACCCCTACCTTCTCCTGTAATCCTTAGATGCCTGGTTCTAAAACAAAAAGGGGGAACTGTGGGGAGCCATTGCACCGCACCCTAAAGATGGCGCCGGCTCCTTTCTCCCGGAAGGACTGGCGAGAAACAAACAACTCCTAATAAGGAGATGGCTGAGCTCCCTTCTGGCTTCCGCATTGCTGTACCAATCAATCCTTGCCACTTGGCTGCTTTTGATTGGTGTGCTGATGGCTATAAGAGGGATGGGAGAGGGAAGGAGGCGGAAGAAGAAGCTTGTTCAAGGTTCCTGAATAAACTGCTTGAAGAAGAGTTCGGGTTGTGTCTTCCTTGCTGGTCGAGGGACGCGACACTCTCTGCCACTCTTTCAAATAATACATAAATATATTTTTAATGGCCACCACATTGAGGATGGGACAGCCCAAAGCCAGGAGCCAGGCTTCTCTCTTAGGGTCTCAGACATGGTGACAGGGTCCCAAATATTTGTTCCCTTGTCTGCTACCTTCCGAGGCGTGTTCGAGGGAATTAGATGGGAAGCAGGTAGCTAGGGCTCGAACCAGCACTTCAACTTACAGGATGCACTGCTAGAATCCAAAAGTTCTACTTTTGAAATTTATATTTATTAAATAAAATCTTCCTCTAAAAATAATAAAAGTAAAAAATTAAATAAAAAAATTTATAGGATTCTGGTGTAGCAGGTAGGCAGTTTAACCCGCTGTGCCACAATGCCAGTCCTCTCTTTGGCAATTTAAAAACGTGTTTATTTTCTTCTCCTTGAAAGGTAGAGTGACAAGGAGAGAGAGAGAGATGGGGATCTTCCATCCACGGTTTCGCTCTCCACGTGCCCGCACAGCCAGGCCTAGGCCAGGCTGAAGCCACAAGCCAGGGACTCTCTCTGGGCTCCCACATGAGCAGCAGGGCCCAAGCACTTGTGCATCATATGCTGCCTCCCAGGATGCATTAGGGGAGCTGGAGTGGAAGTGGAGCAGCTGGGAGTCCAACCGGGAACTCTGATGTGGGATGCAGGCATCCCAAGTGGTGGCTTAATCCGTTGCCCTGAACCCCTGCCCCCTGTTTTCCATTTAACCCAGGGGCCCTGCCTACTGCCCCTGAAAATGTCAAGGACGTTGCCTTAAACTTCACTCAGCCCCAGTGCTACAGGCTATGAAAGTCCAAAGGTCTTTGTGTTTTCAGTATTTTGCTTGGCAAAGCAGCTGTATGCAGGAGCCAGTGCCATGCTAGCCTGTTTCCAAGCTCCTCCAATGAGAACTTGCCCAACCTGCATCTCCACACACCAGCTGTCTGCTGCGTCATCTATAAAATGCCCCCTGCAACCCCACACCATGGGGGAAGCAGCTTGGAACCCTCACATGCTCCTGCCTCCTTTGAGCCAATGACACAGCTCCTCTCTCAAAGGACCAGCAACACAGGTTGTGTTTCGACCAAGAGAGCAGCGGAGCTACCTAGCTCAGAGCAACCTGAACTTGTCATGTGTGACAAGGAGTTCCAGGGAGTTCTTCTCAGGACTTTGCAAAAGTGACAGCAGAACTGGGAGGCCATGGCTGGCCATGTCACTGGGTCCTGCCTTATCCTCCCCTCCTGTGTGGCCCCGAAAACAACAAAGCAGCCTTTGCCCTCTTTTCGAGTCTTGGTGCAATCCAGACCCCATGGTGGGACTGAGCCTCCTTCACCTGTCAAAGACTAAATACAACAAGTTTAATCGAAAAGATCCTAACTGGCTTTTGTCTGTGATTCTAGAATCAGGCTGAACACTTGCGTGTATAAAATAGGACAGGTGTTCCTGTGGACCCCCTCCTACGCCCCTTTCCTGGTCCTTGTCCTCGGTCTAAGTCACCCCAGGTTAGGCAGGCACACACCACCCTGAAGCCTAATGCCGCTTCTCAGCTCCTCCTTTTACTGTCGGTTCGCCCGGCGAATTCACATAAGGACTGATCATGCCAGAATTCGGAAGCATGTCATTGTCCCTCACTCGAGAGAGGTGACGCTCCGGAGACACTATGTGGGCATATGGCCTTGACCTAATGAATCAAGGAAGTCCCCCAGTAAGCACTGGACAAATATAGTGAGTCTGTGAGTGATAAGAGCCTGTCACTCCAGGCTGCTGCCTCACAGGCAATAGCTGAAACTTAGGGAGAGAGAGCTCCAACAGTGAAAACGACAATGTAGCAAACAACCCAGCAATGCCTAGACAACCACCCCCAAATATCCATGGGATGAACTTAGACAGTCTCCAAGCAGTAACCAACGCGAGGTCATCCCATCCGCACCCAGTGAGGATCCCCACGTTTGTGGCAGTCCCCAGGCACCCAGGCTCTCAGGACAGCTGTTAGACCCCATCCCATCCACATGTTTGCCATTTATCTCGAAGTGAACACAGAATTCAGGCCCTGGATTCCAGCGCCTGTAAAAAGGCTTCTGCTAACCTAGGGCCGAGGATATGCTTGTGTCTTTCCAGAGCATGCGGGACAGCCCATTTGGGTACCAGCCAGAAACATCAAGCCTACAACTCTCAGCCAACCAGAACCAGCTGAACACGACTGAGAGTCTGCCTTGTTAGCGGATGCACCTGCCCTATCATCCAACCCTGAGAAGGTGCCCATAGCCACATCTGCTACTGCTTTATACCCCACTAGCTCTGGTCAGCCACTGAAACGGCCCACAGCCTGTGTTCGCTCCCTTGCCCACAAAGGAACGATGTTGCTCGCAGCTTATCGGTCTTCAGTAGACTTTTATTTAAACAGGATAGAAAGAGAAACCCTTGAGCAAGGGGAGCTCCGAAAGAAAGGGGAAGCTCCCGTACCATATCAGAAATGGCTTATATAGTATATCATTGCAGAAGCATGATTTGCAAGCTTAGTCCATGCGGCGGTGCTCCAATCGGGTGCCTGATCACGCACAGTCCATGTGCTCCTGGTCCAACCATAAAGGTGATCACGCGCCTTCATCCAATCAAGCTCCTGGTCACTTAGCAGGCAACTCGGGTGCTAACAACAAGTTTCCACCTGGTGTTTTCTCAGCCTTGGTCAGTGGGAAAAGAAGTATGGGAAGCCCCAAGGCCATAGTTGTTTGGACTCTAGCCTGGACTTATGAAACGGTCCCGATATCACAGCTCAACAGAAACCATAAGCATCCACACAACAGTAACTAATGCCAATGGTCAGCAAGCGAAGCCTTAGCATGTGGGCCCATGGCCGGCTCATGGGTCTCCATACCTGTGTGCGGTCACGCCATTCCTGATTACCATTGTTCCTCATTCAATCCCTATCTGAGCAAGCACTCCTGTGGCCTCCCTTTTGGAGCACTGGTTAGTCAATGATGGGTAAGATCCGCTGGGAGACAACCTAAGACAGGAACAGCCACGTGCAGAGACCACATGGAAACGGGGTCTGGCCAAGAATCATGCCTCCTGTTGCTCAAAAATAAATGAAATGGAAGAAATGCGGTGGAAAGAGAAGGTCATGCCAAGATGGCCGCTAACAACGGAAACTGCCTAGCAACAGGCTGTGATTGGATGGCTTCGGGAACCACATGGCAATGGAGCCTGCCTGGCAACCGGCTGTGATTGGATGGCTTTGGAAACTGCCTGGCAACAGGCTGTGATTGGTTATGGCATAGACCGCCTCTTGACCCGATTGACTGCCTTGGTTATTTAAGCTGCTCTACCAACTGAAGTAAACGAGTCTGTGGGCTGCTCACCTCTGGCTTGCTTTCACCTGACACCTGGGGTCTGTGTGGTGACTCCATGCCTCTTCCCCTACCACGCTCCTCCTCTCAGAATAAATCCACCGCAACATCACAGTCCCCAGCTATGACTACCAGCTTATTTTTGTCTTTCTGGAGACACACTTCTTGAAATAGCCCTCGCCTCTGGGAATCCTCACCTCCCATTCATTCCTTAGCAAATTGCAGCCTGCTTCAGCCGATTCCTGCAGGCCACTGAAGCTGTGCTTGTCAAGATAATGAATGACCTCCTCACGGCCACCATGGAAGAAACGGAGATCTTTCCTTTTCTCCATTATCGTGGCCTTAGCCACTGCTTGGAATTTCTCTCTTGCCTTCTCCTTGCCTCCCATACCACTCCATTCTCTAGTTCTTTTTTTCTTTATTTATTGATTTGAAATGCAGACACAGAGAAGGAGAGAGATCTTTCGTCCATTGGTTCACTCCCCAGATGCCTACAACAGCTGGGGCTGGGCCAGCATAAAGCCAGGAGCCAGGAGCTCCATCCAGGTGGGTAGCAGGAACTCAATCACTTGAGCCATTATCAGAGGCAGGGAGCTGGACCAGAAGGAGTGTAGCCAGGACTCCAATGGGCACTGAAGTATGGGATGCAGCATGGTGCCTTAACCTGCTGTGCCACAACATTAACCTCCCTTCTATAGTTCTGTAACTGCCTCCTCTTTGTACCAACCACCACTGGTGTTTCCCAGTTCGCTTACTCCTGCCTTTCTCCTTTTCTATACCTGTTGCTTTCCTGAATGGCTTCTTCCACACCCAGCACATGAACTTCACTGTAGCACTTGAACTTCACTATTTATGTGCTGATGACCTTTGAGTAAGCTGTCCTTTGTAATCCTAGGGGTGAACCTGAAGGGCATTATGCTAAGGGAAATCAGGCACAGAGAGACAAATACATACCACATCCCACTTACGTGTAGAATCTAAGAAATACCAACTCAGAATTTGAGAGCAGGGTGGCCGTCAGCAGGGGCCAGAGTAATGACACAGTGGGCTAAGTGGCTTCCTGTATCAGAGGCTGATCTGAGTCCCAGCTGCTCCAGTTCTGATCCAGCTTCCTGCTGATGCACCTGGGGAAGCAGTGGAGGGTGGCCTAACTGCTTGGGTCCCTGCTACCCACGTGGGAGGCCTAGATGAGATTCTAGGCTCCTGATTACAACCTGGACCAGCCCCAGCAATTGTCGCTGTTTGGGATGTAAATCAGTGGATGGGAGATCTCTCCCTGTCTCTGCCTCTCTCTGTCATTCTGCCTTTCAAATAAATAATCTTTAAAAAAAAAAAAAAGCGGTAGTCATGAGAGGTTTGGTGGAACAATGCATGGAGAGAGGCAAGATGTTGATCAGAGCATACAAAGTTTCAGGTGAAAGGAAGAGGCAGTCTTTAGTGATCAATAGATCTCATGGAATGGTGACTTTGATCAGCATTGCTAAAAGTAGATCGTAAATGTTCTCACCACAAATGAGTATGTAAGGCAATGGCTTTGTTATCAGCCTGATTTAATTCTTCTTCAGGTTCACACATGAGAACATGACTCTGCTGGGCTAAAGGGAGGCTGGGGAGACAACTCATGGCCTCAGGTTTTGTTTGTTTGTTTGTTTTTTACTTAGGTATTCTGGAACTGGCGATGCTGGATGTACAAACCTTATAAATATACTAAAAATCACTTGCACACTTGAAAAGGGTAAGATCTATGATATTTATAGCTCAAAAAGAATTCCAATGGCATAATATTCTGTGATGGAATTTGTGGTGGAATGAGAAGGCCATGCCAAGATGGCCGCAGGCAACGGAAACTGCCTGGCAACAGGCTGTGATTGGATGGCTTCAGGAATGACATGGCAACGGAGCCTGCCTGGCAACACGCTGTGATTGGATGGCTTTGGAAACTGCCTGGCAACAGGCTGTGATTGGTTAGGGCATAGACCACCCCTTGACCAGATTGGCTGCCTTGGCTCTATACGCTGCTGTACCAACTGAAATAAATGAGTCTTCCAGCTGCTCGCATCTGGCCTGCTTTCACCCACACCTGGGGTCTGTGTGGTGACTCCACGCCTCTTGCCCCCACCATGATCCTCCTCTCAGAATGGATCCACAGCAACATCTGGCACCCACGGAATTGTTATGAAAACATGCTAGTGGTGGGCTTCTTTTTATAGTGTTTGGGTTTTTTTATTTTTATTGTTTACAAAATTACATGTCTGTAACTTCTCTTTGTCTACTTGGGAAGAATTATGTCTTTGACATTCCCTATGACACAAAGAAATCTATGGGAAGCAATATGTTACTGCCCACCACTACCACCAAAACCAAAACTGCCAGTATTTTAGAGTCCTCGAAATTCTTCCCAAAGCCACTTTGTGTCCTCACTGACTCTATCCAGCCATCCTAATGCTTCCCCTGAATTGTAACTAACCCCTTGTGCTTGGGGCAATCAAAGATGAAAATGTCTCTACTTTGGAATTTACTTCTGTAAAAACTTTATTTTCATGCTCTATGAAACGCAGACAGAGATGTCCCATCCATTGGTTCACTCCCTAAATGACCACAACAGGCAGGCTGGGCCAGACTGAAGCCAGGAGCCCAGAACTCAATGCAGGCCTCCCACATGGTTGGCATTAATAGGAAGCTGGAATCAAATGTGGAGCCAGGCTGTGGAGTAGTGGGTAAAGCTGCCGCCTGCAGTGCTGGCATTCTGTATGGGCGCCGGTTCGAGTCCCAGGTGCTCCATTTGTGATCCAGCTCTCTGCTATGGCCTGGGAAAGCAGTAGAAGATGCTCCAAGTCCTTGTGTCCCTGTATCCATGTAGGAGACCCAGAAGAAGCTCCTGGCTCCTGGCTTCAGATCGGCCCAGCTCTGGCCGTTGTAGCCATCTGGGAGTGAACCAGCATTTGGAACACCTCTCTCTGTCTCTCTGTCTCTCTCTCTCTGCCTCTGCCTCTCTGTAACTCTCAAATAAATACATTTTTTAAAAAGTCTTAAAAACAAAAGTAGAGCCAGGCCTTGAACCCAGGCACTCAGATATGGGACGCAGCCCCTAGTGGCAACTTAACCACCATACTAAGTGCCTGCCCCAGAATTTCCACTTTGGCTGTGGTGTTGGCCAAGTTCACACTGTTGAAATGGTGGGTCCCTAAGGAAAGACTCTCCGTTGTTGGTGGTGGTGTTTTGTTTTTGTTGTTGTTGTTGTTTTGGTTTTTTTTGTTTTTGTTTTTGTTTTTTACAGTCAGAGTGGACAGTGAGAGAGAGAGACAGACAAAAAGGTCTTCCTTTGCCGTTGGTTCACCCTCCAAAGGCAGTCGAGGCCAGTGCACTGCGGCCGGCACAACACACTAATCCAAATCAGGAGCATGCTGTTTCTCCTGATCTACGATGGGGTGCAGGGCCCAAGGTCTTGGGCCATCCTCCACTGCACTCCCTGGCCACAGCAGTGAGCTGGCCTGGAAGAGGGGCAACCGGGACAGAATCCGGCGCCCCAACCGGGACTAGAACTCAGGGTGCCAGCGCCGCAAGGCGGAGGATTAGCCTATTGAGCCACGGCGCAGGCTCCATTTTTATTTTCTGTTTGTTAGAGAGGTGGGAGTGGGGGCAGAAGCTGGAGAAGAACTCAACCGGCGCTCCGTGTGGGTGGCACTTGAACCATCCTGAACCGTCCCTGCTGCCTCCCAGGAGCCACGTCAGCAGGAAGGTGGAGTCAGGAATGAAACCCACTCGCTCTAATACGGGACATGGGTGTGTCTCAGCCACGGGCTTCTCATCTGCCTGAGCGCCAGTTCCCAGAGGGCTAAGCAAGAGCACCAGGTTAGGGGTAAGACGAGGAAGAACTGGCCT